TATATATATATATATATATATATATATATATATATATATATATATATGATACAGAAAGTGCAGACTGAAATGAAGAGCTTGAGTAAAATTTAACAAGAAAACATTTAATTTATCAAACAAAGGGCTGGTGTGGCAGCAAAACTAAACATTACGAAAACTCAAGGAACCATGGAAGAATACTTGACATGAAATGAGGCATGCCAGACTGATGTGAAGTAAAAAAACAAAAAAAAAAAACGGTGGAACTGTATGGATGGGGGCTCATGTGAGAAGTGGGGAACACTGGGCAAACCGACAACAGAGAACAGGTGAGAGTGGGCGGGAGGGAACTGAGGAAGTGAACTGATGATGCAGGAGACACTGGGAAAAAAATTGAAAAACATAAGAAACAAATGCACAACAAAGGGAATAAATCTAAAGTGCCAAAAAAAATGAAAAGCTACCAAAAATAACTTATAAGAACCAAACCCTGACACAAACAGACATTAAATAATAAAAGGAAACAATAAAATAGAATATACACAAGAAAAATGTGTCTGGATGTTTTGATTTTGTCAGCCCATGTTCCTTCTGGGCCACTAGTGCACGTCTTGTGTCAGCCTGCCAAGTCCACCTGCATCTGTTCCTCCTCCTCATTCGTCACAGCTGCAGTCACTTTTCCACAGTGGTCCGTGCCCATTTAGTTTGTCCATCCACACTACCGAGTCAGTCGAGCATCATTAGTTTTCACGTCTTTTCTCTTGACGTTAAGCTCTTTGAGTAATGATGGAATAATTGCTGCTAGGATTCAAATCTGCCCTTAAAGATGACAGTTTACCAACCACAAAAAATCAAACTGTTGTTTTTATTTTTTTCAAATAAAGATTTCATATTAAACCACACATGAAATGATTAACACTCAAAATAAGATTTATTAGTTTCTATTCACACACAGAAAACACATAAGAAAAGTGTGCTGAAAACAAGTTGTTTTGGCGAGTTTCCATTGTCAGTGAATGACTAATTTACAGATCAAACTTTTGAGAGAAAAACAAAAACACAAGCAGATTCACCATCTCAAGATGAAAACTTAGCACCTTGTTCCAGTCACTGTAATTCTTTGACTGGTGTGTAGTGATTAAACATATAGTATGATGGCCTATTAGAAGTCAAACTCCCACCTTTGTAGGTTATTTTTCTGACAGCGCAATCCCAGACATTATGACAGGAAGCAGAGTGCTGCCTGATACAAAAAAAGACTGACGAGTTCTCAACATCATTTAATAATTTATCTTAGGTTACATCCACAATGTATTTGATGCCATATCCAAAAATGACTCACTTATCAAATACAGTGTAAAATGTTTACGAGATGGCTTTTAAATAAGCAAAAATGATTCATTATTACTAAGGCACTGCAAATGAGCAATTAACCCTAAATGTTGGTAAATTTGGAGAATGTCTAAACTGTCCACAAAGTGGAGCTCCAGTGTTCTTACAACATAAAAAAAATGCACCTGAAAAACACAAAGACTAAAAAAAACCCATGTGAGAAAATTTAGGTGTGATAGTACACGTCTATGTGATATTTATCCAACAGGCCACAGTGTTTTCTTGTGATATGTTGTGACAAATACAAATGAATGCTTATATACAAATGATTTGACATTTAACATATGGGCTTATCTTTTTTTAAACTGATTAAAGTTAAAGCAAAGCATGTCAGGTGGGACGCTTATTAAATTATTGTTCAAAACAATCTTTTTTTTTTCAAATAAATAATGCATATATACTTTTATCAGTTACATGAATGGGAAAAGACAAGTAACAAATGATCTTAAAGCTAATAAAGGATGGTGGCATTTCCCCCTTCATGCCATTTTTTTTTAAAGAAAACAATTTAAATGCAACTGTGATTTAAATAAAATGATCAAATCCAAAGGAGCAGAGGTAACAGTGCCCCTCTGATAAACTTCCGTTTGTAACATGACAATTTGGTGAAAATAAAATTAAAACAAAACAAACAAAAAAAAAGCACAATGTAGACGCAATACCATCCTGGTTTGTTAAAAAGACGTTAAAGCTGTTTTTTTTTGTTTGTTTTTACTGCTGGATAAGATAATATGGAAATAAAATACCACGAAAATCCAAATGCAGCTAAAAGATGCATCGGTGCACTGCAAAAAAAATTATAAGAATATTTACATATAAACCTTTACATTGCAGAGGTATTATTTGAGAATAAGTTTGTCTTCACCACCATTGAGGTATTAAGTATAGCTGGTATTTAAATACTTGTTTCTATGTCGTATTAAGCCGACCTTGTGTTCAGCTTCAATAGGCTTTACAGGCATCTTCCATCTGCATTTGAAATTAATTGTTCATTGTGTGTGAAGAAAAGTGACTCATCACCTGCAATAGTAATACTGAGCAAAATCTGTATGTAAGGCTACTAAATACAAACAGCAGCATGAGAGTGTGTGTATGCACAGTCTATTTCAGTTCATATTATCTAGAGCCAGCAGGGCTCCCAAATGACATTGTAGTGGTAGTTATTCTATAGTCAGCTTTTCATCATATCTATACTTGGTATACTTTATCAAGGATTAAATCTGAGTAAAAAAAAAACTAAATGTTTTAACCACAAGTATGTATTTACAAGATGTTGAAATATTGTAGTTTCCCTCGCCCAACGAATGATCAAATCTATTTAGGGAGATGCAACATGCAGTTTTTGTGTTTTAGCACAGATCAAGACGTCAATGTGTTGGGGGGAGAAAACGACTTGCACAGATACGTGCAAGAATCGCACACGAAGAAGCACAGCAGAAGCCGTGATGAGCATTCCAATGTATATTAAAAAAAGAAGCCCACTTCGCCCTTTACACTGACCACACATCGTCTATCCATTTCTTTATGTACATTTCTTTATGAACTTTATGTTTCTATGTGGTTTGTACAATAATAAAATATGATAAAATGGATGGAAGACATATGGTTTCCCTGATGACACAGTTTGCCTTATATGACGGGATGAAGCATGGAGGCGCAGAGACAGTGGTTATTCATCAACGAGCTCCTCCTGCAACAGACGCTGAATGGTTTAAAGGTCCATGCTGAACTCTCCATGAAGGTCATCTATGGCCACAATGTTCAGGACAAACAAAAAAATGTAAACACTAGAAAGACGTGGGGGAAAGATAAAAAAAAACAATACAAATACAATAGATTATTAATCATAAAGGGATATTTTTAGGCACAGTAAATGTCACAAGTTCCAACACTCCACAATATTTTTACGGAGTTTAAAATAACATTTTTACCTTGCGACGAAGGCACTTTAACAACTACCGGTACTCCCCATGCCCTGTTTTTGCGTAGATTCACTGTTGAGCTCCTGATCATTTTCATCCTCTTCTTTCCAGCCACCCAGGTGAACTGGGCTGGGCATGGAAATGCTGGAACCATGACCACTTTGAACCTGAAAACCTGATGAATCAGAGCCAAAAGTTACCTGGTACAGTCCAGTTCACATATAATATATATATTATTTGTTCTTTTAAATGTTATAATTAAAATTGATTCTAATAAACAAAACTTAATCTAAACATTTTACTTGAATGAACGCAGTACTTTTTCTACGTGTTTCGCATGACATTTACAACACAAAAATACACACAACAAACTGTTCTTTATTCTTTATTAAATTTATTTGAGACTGGTCTGAGGAATACAATTTATTTTCCCATGTTTCAGTCATGATCAGGGGTTTGCAAACTTTGAGATAAAAAGAGACATATTTTTTCCGCTTTGCTTACAAGTTTCGATGTCAGGAGCTGCAAAACCTGCTACAACTGTGTACTGTCAACTGGTGGCCCGTGGACCACTACAAGTTTGTTGGGGATGGCTTTTCTGGCCAGTGGGGGTGATAATATAAAACAAAAAATGTCTAACTATTATTAAAATTTATTGGTAGTTTTGCATTTTAATACAAAATAAAATACCATATTCACATAAAGAAAGAAAAAATATATAATTTGTAATAATATTATAAAAATTAAAACACTGAACCCTGCAGGTCAGTGTGAGTTCTCTTAATGGTTGAAGAATTAAGTATCCTACTTAAAGCATAAAGTTAAAGGCAGGATAAAATTAGACCAGTTTGTTGGATATCCAATTATATTTATAAAGAAAAATAAACACTTTCATTTACTTTGACTTTTTTTTTTGTATGTTTAATTCTTATTGCTATCAAGGTTACTCAACATATTCCTTCTGAGCAGCTTGTCTTAAAGATATTCCAAAACATTCTGGTGGTTTTAAGAGAGTGCACGCTGTCAGACTGGAAGTCGACTTAATTAAGTGGCTAACAAACTACTAGCATGATGTAGTCCACATGTTTTACACCTTGTATTTGTACTATCTTTCATATTATTGACAATGACAGGAAATCTGCTAAAACTAGCCATTTTCATTGTTGGTAATAATTTAAATAAAATTCAGTTTTATTTTAGTTTTGGTCAAAGCCTGAAAGAGCCGCTGCAGAGGGACCAAAAAGCCACATGTGGCCACAGGTTGAAGACCCCTGGTCATGATGACTGACTAATGAATCTGATTTAGTGTTGCTTTGCCTCTGAATATCACTGTGAACCTTTAAGGCGTTTAATTTGTCTTTAGCTAGAGTTAGAAACCAGCAGTGAATTTCATGACATGTTCTTGTTGTGTGACCAGTTGTGAGGCTGGTAATGCCATAATAAGCTTACAAGTGATACAGACACTTATCTAGAGAATTCATAGGAAGAGATATTGTGATTTTAGCAAGATCTCACACTTATTAAGTTTGACAAAAATTGCTTCTAAAATCTAACTCGGCTCTGTTTTTGACTACGTTTGCAAAACATCCGCAGTGAATAAATGCAGTTACCGGTGTTTGTGTGCAGATCTCTCATTGGCACTGAAGCATTCCACTGTCCTGATGTCCTCTGTGGGTGAGAGCTTTGCTGATGGAGCTGGAGAGACAAACAGTTGTCAGTTTACATCAGCATAAAGTGCTAAACTGATGGATTAAAGCAGATACTTCAAAAAGTACTACACTGACAAAGACCTCATCTTTGAGTATTAGAAAAAAATGCATACCTTACAAAATGTTATCAATGCAAAAATAAAACAAGAAGACACTGATAATGTGCTGTAAACAGTTGGAACTTCAGCTGTTTGTAGCCACGAGAGAAACAAACGCAAACTTTTCAAGCTTACAATGAGCGCACACATGAATATACAAACAGAGTTTGTGGTCAGAACGTTACCTCGTGCATGTAGATGGCATGGAGACTCATCTCTGCAGAGGCAAACTCTGAGTGCAGCGTATTGCTCTGAATGTGAGAGTCACTGGTGGAAACAGAGATTCGATGTTAGACCTTTTCATCAATCTGTCAGTTTCAATAAATATGTAGTTAGTAGGGAATAACAATGCTTTTTTAAATGTATTGTTTCAACCTGTTAAGAATTGTGCGATCGCTGTGATACATGGTGGTCTCAGGGTGGCTGGAGGACGGCAAACCATGTGAGCGGCCACGACTGGTGTGTGGAAGCTGGGAGGTGGACAAAGAGGCAAGGACACTGGCTGCAGCAGAAGCAGCAGTGCTGGGTGGGATGAAGCGGTGGTCTCGCCCTTGTAGTCCAGATGCAGTAAGGATGGGGTGGGCCAGGACACTGGCTAAAAGACTCTCAGGCTGAAAACCACAAAGAAAGTGGTAAGTTATGTTCTCTTGTAGTGATTTATGAATTATAGAAGTATTCTTACAATTAGTTATGCATATATGTTTTAGAAAATCTCTTCATATATTCAATGTTAAAAGGCTTTTGACAACATAACTGATGTCAAGAGCAAATAAATGTCTCAGTCAAGATTTGTGTAAGGTTTAATACCCCAGTGGCAGACTCGTTGGACTGCAGTGATGTGCAGAGAGGAGCCTCAGAAAGTAGCAGCTGAGTGGAGGGCCCACCCTGAGCATCGTGCTGCACCTTCCCCTTCAAGTGGCTGATGAACAGTGAGCTCTCCAGAGGTGGCTGCCAGCGTGGGTTCTTTATAGTGAAATGCATAAGGGACAACTCTGTCTTGCCATTCTCAGCCTGTTGGTATACAGACGCCTCTGTCTGGCCTTCTGACATCCACTGCAACCATAATCATAAACACATGAATGTCAACGAAATACCAACTGCAGCTTTTTACAAGGCAGCTTTCTCGTTAATTCAGAAAGCTGCTAGCCGTAAACAAGCTAAATTAGTCTTACTGTTGGGTTTCCATGACGCCTAATGTCCATCTGTGCAAAGGAGCAGATATCTCCAACTCCAACCACCTCCACAGTAAAGTTCCTGAAGAAGTCAATGATTTCTAGAGACTTGTTTCTCAGGAGGAAGATGAGAATGAATGGTGTGACAATAGGACTGAGCAACTCCTCCAGGATGAACACCTGATTTAAACACACAGGAGGCTCATCAAAAACTTGCAGTTTTTTTAATACAACCCTAATCGACAAACGAGTTGCTGGTTTGCCCACCGCTTTGTACTGGAACAGCTGTGCCACCTCATCACGGGTCTCACTCTTGTTGGCATTGCCCCTCCAGTGGTCTGGCATGTAGTGAATGTGTGCCAGCACACACTGCAGAAGCTGCTCCGGGCACCACACCATATGCTCGTCCGGGATGAAAGACCTTAGGTGAAATGGGTACAAAAATGTCTGAATTACTGCCATTCTTTAGGAAATGAGAGAATGGTGATGAAAAAAGTACCGGTAGTTGAAAAGTTTAATGTGAAGTTTGGGGCAAAAATGCCTAAAACCTCGTTCCAAACAGAAAAAACAAGTGAAATATATATATAAAAAAAAAGCTTAATTTAATAATCAATATGACTAAATAAATTATTTTTTAAAATAAAAAGAAATAAAGCTTTTAATGCAGTTGTAATGCACATATTTTACATTTGTATATTAGTATACAAGCATCATATGTTTACCGTATTTTTCGGACTATAAGGCGCTCTTAAAATCCTTTAATTTTCTCAAATATTGACAGTGTGTCTTATGTATAAATTCTGGTTGTGCTTACTGACCTCGAACCAATTTTATGTGGTTACTGTGAGTGAGTTGAATAAAGTTGGACTTACCTGACTCTTCTGTTTTGCTTAATGCACCTTATAGTCCAAAAAATACGGTAGTATTAAATCAGTTACAGCTACTTCCTATTAGTGATATTAAAGCTTCCCTAAAGACAAGATGTCTGTGAGAGCTCACCTAGCAATTGTAATAACCACTCCCAGCACAGTGATGGCGGTCAGAATGTGCTGCACCGTGAGCACGTCCTCATCATAAACGGTCAGTGCAATGAGAACGGCCAACACTGACCCTGAGAAGAAGGTGACGTTCTTTGCCAGCACAGTCAACAGCGGTGACGTGAAGGAGTTCATGTATTTGGACGTGGGTTTGTAGCCACGACCTAATCGTCCATGCAGCTCGTGGTTCAGCTCGTTGAAGTGACGCAAATACAGGCGCCCATACAGGGACCAGCGGCGGGCGCCCAAACTTCCAGGTTCCCTGCGGATCACTTCCGTGTAGCTGAAGAAAGCGTAAAGCACCTGCCACACCAGGATGAAAGGACAGAGCAGCAAATTGGCCAAACCTATGAGCAGGATGACTCTGCTGAGCTGCTGGGCGAGCTCCAGGCGGTTTCCACTGCGCTTGTACTTGGGGTGCAGGTTCCACTTGTTTTGAAACAGAGAGCCAGGGCCCCAAAACAGAATGAGCTCAAAATTGTACTTTAAGCCCTGGGTTAAGAAGACCACATTGCCAAGCAGGGGGAGCTGCAGCTGCACCGGCAGCAGAGACTTATTTATCATGGCCACCATGTAGTTCTTAAAACGAAGAATACGGTGATAGATATCGAGTTCAGTCAGCTCCTTCTTGTGAATGCACATTTGCTGTTCTCTCTGCAGACTGATGAGTCGGTCTTGGACTTCCTGCCATGTGAAGTTGCATAGTTCATCCTGGCACGAGGAAAGCAATACAAAATAAAAAAACTCACGTTACAGAAATGGGTGACAAAGCTACTTGCGACAAATCACCGAGACTCAAAAAAAAAAAAAAAAAAAAAAAAAAACATAGAAGGTGTTAGAAGTAAGTTATAACTGTGGTAGCACGTTTTGAAACAGTAGGTGCAGCACTTACCATGTGGATCTTTAGTGCTTTAATGTAGAACTGTCTGATCTCCCAGAAGCTCAAAAGATTGCAAAAGACTTTTACGAGACGGTACATCCAGAAGATGGCTGCCATGATGAGAAGGAAGATGATCCAGCTGTTCTCTTGTATACTGGATAAAAACAGAGCTACTTTCAGACATGGACTGAATTTATATATTCATTACATTTTCAGCTTTTGTTACTCAGATATGACTTTTAGCAAACAAAGAAGCCTGAAATAAGCTTCCTTTTGTTTAAACTAATGGTCTTAGCTTAGACCAACTTTCTGTTGGTGTTTTGCTCACATGTGCACACAGATTTCTCATACCGATATAGTATATTGTAGTTTCCTGGCGCCTTTAGAGATTGATGTTAAACATATTAAGAACAATGGGTGGAATGGCCTGAAATGTAGTCTGCTCTTGTTTCTGTTTGCTCTGTTGATAGAAATGTTGCTTTCAGGCAAAAACTGTAGTGACCAAAATAATTCCGTATGCCAAAACTGTATGAAAATGGGCGTGTGCTTCTCATTTATACATTTTCCTGTTTTACATGCATTCTCTTTCATCGTCCTCCTATTGCTGGTTTAATCTAAAATTTAGCCAAGCAGGACTGTGCAAAACAATTGGATTATCACAGGGATTGCATACAGTGGGCTGTTAAGACGAACTGAACACGAGGCTGTTTTTATTGCTTTTGTGTTTAAATTCCCATGAGCCTTTGCTCTGCATCAAGTGAGTTGGGCAAAGTTAAACCCATGGTCAGAAACGATGAGAACTCAGAGGCACACAAATGACACCACGTCTTCCTTCGGAACAATTGAAAGCAACATGTAAATGCACATATAATGACCATATTATAAAAATTAACGTATGAAACTTTTGTATACAGATTAAGGTGAAGTAGCCTGGCTTAATCCAAGATTGAGAAAGTTTATGAATGCTACAACCATGAATATACTATTATAAGTAGTTTCAAAGTCTATTTTACATCAAAAATAATATTGACTTTGGCATACATGTGATTTAAATCAGCCTAAATGTGAAATTAGATATGAGCTATGAAGAGGACAGAGCGACTCCAGACTCTAGGACAAGCTGTTCCCAAATTAGAATTGCAAGCGGATGGACGTCACTGACGTTGATATAAACAACTTTTGAGTCACAGTCGGAATAAAGCTCAAACTGGCAATGAGAGGCTTGTGGCTCAGGTGGAGAAAATAACAACAAGCCAAGTGAAGACGTTATAAAAAAGAAAATGCGACCATAGGTTTGTGGCGGTGTGTGGGAGGTTGTTCTGTGTAGCAAGCAGTAGGTCAGGTGGTAGCCAGCTCGACAGTATTTTGGCTGGCCAGTCACACCACACCAAAACTATTAGTTACACTGGCTTGGTGTCTAAAACCAGCCTGAGCAGGGTACACAAACATGTTCCTCCAAGAAACTATGAGTTGGACGAATGCTCTGAGTAGAAGGTGAATATGTTGAAAACAACTTAGCTGGGGAAGGAAAACATTTAAAAAATTCCCCATTTCATTTCTTCATAAAATGAAATAAACAGATCCATTTCAAATAAAGATTAACTTGTGTTGAGCGATGTGTCTTTTAATTTTAGACATATTTTGAATGATAACCAGAAGTTTGTTACTGCTACCGGCGCTGAATCTGCACCAGGAAGGAGTAATGAAATAACATTACAAACCAAACTTAACACAAGCCTGTTTCACACGTTTTCAAGCTGAACCCAAAGTATTTTTCCAGCATTGGTGTCATGTTTGAATTAACCAAAAATAACAG